CCCCAACCAGGGCCAGAGACCAAACTACAACAAAGGTATGTGCCCTTGACAGGAATCAAACCTGTGACTATGGTCCGGGGGCTGATTCTCTAACCATTAAGTCAAACTGGCCAGGGCAACACTGAGCAGTTTAATCTAAGCACACCCAAATGCATTATCTATTTTGATCCTTAAAACATACCTGCCAGCTACTATATTCATTTTACAAGTGATGAAACAGAGTATTAGAAAGATCCACTGACTACCACAGTTGCAGAGTACAACAAAATGTTCAAGTGTCTTGGCTCCTAGTGTTATAAACTTTCTAGGTTATCTTGTTGTCTCCCTACTCAGAAGGCAAGGTAATTAGATGGCTACTCTGACTTGAAAGAGAGTAGTCTGATCGTGAAAAGTAGGGGCAGAACAGTGCTTCTCAGTAGTCCTAGTTATGTGTCTCCTCAGCCACCTAGAAACTTCTTCAGTGTGCCCTTAATGTCTTTGTTCCTCAAGCTGTAGATGTGAGTGGAACAAGCATTTAAGTATAAGAACAAAATAAGGAGCACTGGCCAGGTGGCTAAGTTGGCTGGAGTGTCATCCTGTACACACACAGAAAAAGGTTGCAGTTCAATCCACAGTCAGGGCACATATGAGAGGCAACCAATCAATGTTTCTCTTTTACATCGATGTTTCTCTCTCTCTCTTCCTCTTCCTCTCTCTCTTATTAAAAAAAAACAACAAAAACAAAATCATATCCTCAGGTGAGGATTTTTAAAAAGGACAAGATAAGGATAAGGAACTTGATCTAAAGTAGCTGTTCTTAGGCTAGCTTAGTCAGATAACAAGGGTTAGGCCTGCAGAAACCAGGAAGATGACTGTGGTCACTAACACCTTGAACTTTTTGAAACAGGTCAGGTTATGATGTAGAAACACACAACACCAGTGTCTTAGTGGTTAAACACAAAAATTTATTTCTTATTCCCACAAAGCCAATTAAAGGTCTGGGGACTCTCCAGAACAGCTGTCCTGCCATGTGGAGGACATGGCATTCTAGACTAGTTTGATCTTGTGGCTCCTCTCTCTATGTGCTTCCATGATTGAGGCAGGAAGAGAACACTACAGAGTCTTGCACCAACGAAGTGCTTCAGCCCAGAAGCGAGGCTTTTCTGCTCACAACCCAATGACCAAAACGACCTAATGACCCTGTCTAACTACAAGGAGCAGAAAAGCATAATCATTCTCCTTTTTACTGCTCACTAGAATACAAGCTGCATGAGGGTATGCATTTTTTTCTCTTTTGTTCGCTACTATATCCTTGCTCTCGAACACTCTGTGCCTGGGTACATAACAGACCCTCATGAAATTAAATTAATAAATAGTTCCAGGAAGAAATCTACATGTATCTTGGAAGAAGAGACAGAGTCCTAGGGGTCTAAGGCTGAGACTGCTGGGTAAGAACTATGCAGACTAGAGATTCAGAGCTGGTCTTGATTAAAAATAATACTTTGGCCCTGGCCGGTTTGGCTCAGTGGTTAGAGTGTCGGCCTACAGTCCAGAGAGACCCGGGTTCAGTTCCTGCTAAGGGCATGTACCTTGGCTGCAGTTTGTCCCCAGCCCTGGTTGGGTCGTGCGGGTGGCGGCCACTCGATGTGTCCCTTTCATGTCAATATTTCTCTCTCTCTTCCTCTCTCTCCCTCCCGCTCTGTCTGAATAAAAAATGGAAAAAAGTCCTCAGGTGAGGATAAAATAAATAAATAAATAAAATAATACTTGGTGTAGTTCATCTTGAAGAACAAAATAAAATCCCCCTGGGAGTGCCAGACCAATAGCTCAGGTGATTTACACAAATTAAGTCAGCCTCACCACCAGGGCTCAGCTCTTGAAAGCAGCTGCAAGACTTACAAATACACCCTGGCAGAGTAGCTCAGTTGGTTAAAGTGTCATCCCAATATGCAAGGTTGCAGTCTCGATCCCTGGTCAGGTAACATACAACAAGCAACCAATAGCCTGACCAGTATGGCTCAGTGGTTGAACACTGACCCATGCACCAAGAGGCCACAGGTTCGATTCCTGGTCAGGGCACATCCCCAGGTTGTGGGCCAAATCCCCAGTGGGGGGCATGCAGGAGGTGGCCAATTGATGTTCTTTCTCATCGATGTTTCTATCTCTCTCTCCCTCTCCCTCTCTCTCTAAAAAAATATTTTAAAAAAGAATCAACCAATAAATACATAAATGAGTGGAATAACAAATTGATCTCTCGCTGAAATCAATTATATATATATTTTTTATCCTCACCCAAGGAGATTTTTGTATTTATCTTCAGGTAGAGCAGGAGGGAAGAAGGGAGGAAGAGAGAGAAAGAAACATCGTTGTGAGAGAGACATATCAAATGGCTGCCACTCACATGACCCCAATCAGGGCCAGGGACAAACTGCAACCAAGTTACATGCTCTTAGCCGGAACCGAACCCAGGCCTTTCTGGTCTGTGGGCCGATGCTCTAACTGCTTAGCCAAACTGGCCAGGGCAATCAATAATACTTTTAAACAGCCACAATGCATCTGCTCCTTTAAAGTAGTCAGTTTGCCCAACATATCACTGGGGAGCAGGGAAAAGGGGGAATAATGCACATTGAGCGTCTACTGTTGACCAGGCTGGAGGGTGCTTTTCTTTCACCAATCCCTGTAATCTCCAGATCAACACTGAGGTGAGTGTTCTTTGAGAAAATAAAGACTTAACAGTGTTTCAGTAACCAATCAAGAAACAGGAATGTTTTATAAATTAGAAATAGATAACAGTGTCATCTGGGCTGGCTCTACAGAGATAACATATAAAGTCCTGATAATCCTGCCTTCAGGTCTGATTGAAGAAACTAAAAGCCAACAGACCTACTAGGGATGGTGTCTTAAACAGAACAATTCCCTGAATATTTGAGCCTTAACTTCCTCATTTATGCAATAATTGATTTGGAACAGATAATTTAACCCTTTTCCCAATACTACCTAAAAGCTCTAACAGGAACAAATCTGAGTCAAAGGTAAAAGTACATAAAGGGTGAATTGTTAGAAAACCCACAGGCTTTGGCTGGTTTGGCCCAGAGACCCAGGTTCGATTCCGGTCAGGGGCATGTACCTGGGTTGCGATTCGTCCCCGGCCCTGGTCGGGGTCTCGTGGGAGGCAACCAATTGATGTGTCTCTCTCACATCGATGTTTCTTTCTCTCTCTCTCTCCCTCCCACTCTATCTGAAAATAAATGAAAAAATATCCTTGGGTGAGAATAAAAATAAATAAATTTTAAAAAACGGTAGAAAATCCACAACCTAGCTCTAGTCGGGTAGCTCAGTTGGTTAGAGCATTATCCCAATACGCCAAAGTTATGGGTTCAATCCCCAGTCAGCACACATACAAGAATTAACCAATGAATGCATGACCAAGTGGAACAACAAGTCGATGTGTCTCTATCTACAATCAATTAAAAAAGAAAAAGAAAACCCACAGCCTAGAAAGATGTTCAGCAATTTCTCCTAAAGATATGCTAAATGCTTGAAGCAGACATGGTAAACCATGCCTACTTATTAGTCTACAGTGTAAGACAACCAACATGGATGTGGATTTGCCCACTTCTGCCTACCACTCAGCATCAATCCTCAAACATTACTTTTTGAAAAACTGCTCCTATGCTGGCTGAATTCCCAGATCACCATGCCCAGTGAATCACAGAACGCTGCCTGCAGCACATAGTCCAATTCCCAAGCATCTCTCTTTGTTCTTAAAAACAAACAAAAGCCAAATTATAATAAGCAAACAAACAAAACCCTGAAAGTTGATCTTAAACTCTAATTAATATTCTTTTAGGCCTCAGGAAAGTGCTAATTTTTATGACTGTTTTATCCTATTGACTTTGTAAAGGAAGGAAAGTTTACTTTGTTATTACAAAAAATTCTTTACATTTAATACATATTCCATGGTTAAAATTCTAACGTTTCCAGCCCTGGCCGGTTTGGCTCAGCGGTTAGAGCGTCGGCCTGTGGTCCAGAGAGACCCGGGTTCGGTTCCCGCTAAGGGCATGTATCTCGGTTGCAGTTTGTCCCCGGCCCTGGTTGGGTCGTGTGGGTGGCAGCCACTCGATGTATCACTTTCACGTCGATGTTTCTCTCTCTCTCTCTTCCTCTCTCTCCCTCCCACTCTGTCTGAACAAAAAATGCAAAAATGTCCTCGGGTGAGGATAAAAAAAAAAAAATTCTAACGTTTCCATATCTCATTAGAAATGTTTCCCTTTTTCAAACACCACCAATGAAAGGCATGAGATAGTTATCTGTCAGATTCATCACAGAAAAACTGTGCTAATAGGATTCAAGAGCTGAAGTAGCTAAAAAGTTCAGTAAGAAACTCTCATGATATCCAATGATGAGAGAGGAAGAAAATCAAATTTGGTTCTTGAATAACTACATTAGAGTTCATTTCTACTCTATGAGACTATTGAAATAGATAATCCTACTACCCTGAAGTAATGGTATGCAATAAAAAGATGCGATTACTTTTGTTATGAAAGACCATGCTACAAATGTTTCTATCATGTGTTTAAGAGTAGCTGGGGCAATCAAAGGAAAACCAATATTTACCTCTGTAACCACAGAAGACTGATTCATGGTTCACATGTTACTGAAGCTGAATTTGCTATATTGCCAGATACAATCCCAAAACAGATTTTTCCCTCATTCAGAATGTTCTTCGAATACCTTTCGCTAAGAAACTCCCTGGAGATTATGAATAAAAAACAGTAAATAATACAACTACTAAAGAATCCCTTGCAGAGTCCAACTTGATTTCTTTCTATGTAACATTTATATCCCCAAATTTTCCACTGATGAAAAAATTTTCATTTTTCATAAATCTGCATTCTTTCATAAACTTTAGGGTCAAGCTCCACTTGGTAAAATTCTTCAGACTGTGGACATGCAGTCTGTCAATGGAATTTCTAGTGTCTAAGAAGGTTTGACTGCCTGCTGGTTTCTCATACACATGCTACAGGTGGGTTCTTCGGTGTTTAATAAGGTGGGAGTTCTGACTGAATTTTTTCCCACATTCATGACACGTAAAAGGCTTCTCTCCAGTGTGAGTTCTTTGGTGTGTGTGGAGATTTGAAGTTTGACCAAAGCTCTTCCCACACCACGAGCATTTATATGGTTTTAATCCTTGGTGTGATGTGAAGTGCTTATTAAGATCTGAACTCCACCTAAATCTCTTATTACACTGTGGGCACTTATATGGTTTCTCTTCAGTGTGAATTCTTTGGTGCTTAATAAGGTCAGAGCTAACTCTGAAGCTTTTCCCACATTCCTGGCACTTAAAAGATTTCTCTTCTGAACGTTCTTTCTTGTGACGATCCATAAGTTTCAGCAGCTCTTGTTTCCAGGTTGAAAGTTTCTCTTTTTCCTTCGCTGAAAAATCTTGGTGCCATTTCCCCACTCTGTGCATATCACCATGATTTTCTTTGACTGTTGTTTTCTGGGGTACTTTCACTCTGTCTATTTCTGAAAATATGTCTCTTGGTATTTGCATTTCTAAGTCAGCAGGGTATACAGATTGATGATTTTCAATGCCATTTTTGAGCTTTAACTCTGTTGGAATAAACACAAAAATCAACCAACTATATGGCAGAGAAAGAAAATCTCAAGAAAAGAGACAAAAATTAAATGGTCACTCAATTTTAACTATATGGCAGAGAAAGAAAATCTCAAGAAAAAAGACAAAAATTAAATGGTCACTCAATTTTAAAATATAGGTAAGTAGAATTTTAAAATGTTAAGTCCTTGCAAAGATTCCTATTAAGGCACATTTCTCCTTTTCCCATGGTGTATTTATTTACCTGTAGGCAGCCCTCCAGGACTGTCCTTGAACTCCATGGATCCTTGAACCCACAACTCTTTCCCTTGCTCTAGACAGATCACTTTAGGTTTGGGGTGCACAAATGTGGCTGTGAAATGGAAAAAGTGAGTCAAGAATTGCTAACTTTACAATGTCCAATAATTATACACTATTTCAGATACAGCAAAGAACAGTTTTACAGTCTGTTACCCCAAATGGTTAAATGGATAGACTCTCACTGACATCAGGTATCAAGTTTACACTATACTGCATTGGGAGTAGATATGCAAAGTGGAGATTAAGAAATAAACCTAGCCCTGGCCGGTTTGGCTCAGCAGTTAGAGCGTTGACCTGCATTCTGGAGAGACCCGGGTTTGGTTCCCACTAAGGGCATGTATCTTGGTTGCAGTTTGTCCCTGGTCCTGGGTGGTTGTGTGGGTGGCAGCCATTCGATGTGTCCCTTTTACATCGATGTTTCTCTCTCTTCCTTCCATTCTATCTGAACAAAATATCGAAAAATGTCCTCGGGTGAGGATTAAAAAAAAGAAAGAAAGAAAGAAAGAAACCTAGCCTGGCCAGTATGGCTCACTGGTTGAGCATCAACCCATGCACCAAGAGGTTCAATTCCCACTCAGGGCATATGCCCAAGTTGTGGGCCTGATCCTCAGTACAGGGCATGCTGGAGGTGGCCAATCAATATTCTCTCTCATCATTGTTTCTGTCTCTCTCTTCCTCTCCCTTCCTCTCTCTCTAAAATCAATAAAGAAAAAATATTTTTTAAAAAAGAAATAAACCTAGCCTGGCTGGTTTAATTCAGAAGTTAGAGCATCAGCCCATGGACCAAAGAGTCTCAGGTTCGATTACAGTCAAATGCAGGTACCTCAGTCAAGGTTTGGTCCCTGGCCCTGGTTGGGGTCACATGAGAGACAACCAGTCAATGTGTCTCTCTCACATCGATGTTTCTCTCTCTCTTTCTTCCCCCCACCACTCTATCTTAAGATAAATGGGGGGGAAAACGATCCTTGGGTGAGGATTTATAAATAAATAAATAATAATAATAAAAACCCTGGCCGGTGTGGCTCAGTGGTTGAGTGTTGACACATGCACCAAGAGGTTGCCCATACAATTCCAGTCAGGGCACATGCCCAGATTGTGGGCTCAATCCCCAGTGTGGGGTGTGCAGAAGGCGGCCAATCAATGTTCTCTCTCATCAATGTTTCTCTCTCTCTCTCCCTTCCTATCTAAAATCAATTTAAAATAATAATAATAATAATAATAATAATAAACTAGCAATAAGACTAGAGTGGCTAAAGAGAACTGAATAAGAGCACTAGTGGAAGGAGTTGAGGGCAAGGAGATAATAGAGGCAAGGCCAGATTTAGAGTATCTGGGAGCCTTGGTAAGGAGGTTTGATTTTATTCTGAATTGATGAGAAGTCATCACAAGGTTTTGAAACAGGGAAACATCATGATCTGATCAGGTTTTTAAAGTCTCTAGCTGCTGCACGGAAAACAAAATATGAGAGGGCAAGACTGATGGCAGGAAGGGCTAGTTAGAAAGCTACTGAGGTAGACCCGGTTAGAGATAGCTTAGATGTGGATATCAATAGCACAAGAGGATGAGACACGGTTGGACTCAGACTATATGGTGAATGTGCAATCAAGAGGACTAGTGATGCATTAGCAGTGGGATATGATGACAAGATTAAACAATGACTATTTTTCTTGCCGAGCAATTGGGTGAATGAAGGTACCCTTTACTGAATAGAGAAAGATATGAGAAGAGCAGGTTTGTGGGAGAAGAGGGAAAAGAGATCAAGAATTCTATGCAGTCCTGACTTGTCAGGGCACATGCCCGGGTTGCAGGCTCAATCCCCAGTAGGGGACATGTACGAGGCAGCTGATCCATGTTTCTCTCTCACATCGGTGTTTCTATCTCTCTCTCTCTCTAAAAAATCAATAAAAACATATTTTTTTAAAATATATCTTCTTTAAAAGAAAAAACAAGAATTCTACACAGGATAAGGAATGTGTATTCAAAAACAGCTCCCAAGTGATCTACATTCACCTTTTCCCTGCCCACACCATTGAGTTGAGAACCAAGCAACTACTGGAACAGACCCTCTCACAAGTGCATTCCTAATAAGATGAGAACATGACAGATAACTCAACTTCTACACAAACGGAAGGAGAGAACCTTTACCTAGAAAGATGACAGTTTCATAGTTTTCCTGCATTACGTCATTGTAGAGGGCCTTCTGATTGGGATTCAGTAAATTCCATTCTTCCTGGGAAAAATACACGGCCACTTCTTCAAATGTCAACAAACTCTAGAGAAGAGAATGGGCTTCAGCTCAGTACCTGCCACTCCAGAAATAGCCCTAACATCCAGCCCACGAACTGTATGGTAGGCTGAAGGCATTAATGGCACGCTGTGTTTTGTTTTTAATTTTTTTTTTTTTATTGATTGACTTGAGAGAGAAAAAGAGGGGGAAAAGGAGAGAGAGAGAGAGAGAGAGAGACACAAATTTGTGGTTCCACTTATTTATGAATTCATTGATATTTATGTACTCATTGTTTCTTGTATGTGCCCTGATGGGGAACTGAACCTCAGCTTGGCATATCAGGATGACGCGCTAACCAACTCAGTAACCCAGCCAGCACATGTTTTTTGTTGTTGTTGTTGTTTTGTTTGTTTTTTTAATCCTCACCCGAGGACATTTTTTGATATTTTGTTCAGATAGAGTGGGAGGGGGAGAGAGAGAAACATTGACGTGAAAGGGACACATCGAGTAGTTGCCACCCGCACAACCCAACCAGGCCCAGCGACAAACTGCAACCGAGGTACGTGCCCTTAGTGGGAACCGAACCCGGGTCTCTCGGGACTGCAGGCTGACGCTCTAACAGCTGAGCCAAACTGGCCAGGGCTGCTGTTGTTTTTTTAAAGTGAGAAGGCAGACTTCTGGTTAACATGGTACTCACCTCCTCCCACAACCACATCAAAATTACAACTAAACTACAGAATAACCATCATTCAGAACCACATGAAATTCACTTGAATGAAAGTCCTACAACTATAAAATTAAAGCAGCAGCTACACTGAGACTGGTAGGAAGAGTGGAGGCCTGGATGGGCTGGTCCCACACCCACGTGTGGCAGATGAAAATAGGAGGAATACTTCAGCTGTGAAGGTCCTCACTGAGGAGTGAGGGTTTCCTGTTCCACACCAGGACCCCCAGCTCAGGGTTCAAGTGCCAGGAAGAGAAGTCAGCTATCTCCTGGACAGACATGCTGGCGGATGGCGGAGGCTATTGTTCCTTTGGTGAGCCCTTCCCCTACTGGGCCAGCAGAAAGCCACCATATCAGGGACTCCAGCAACCTGGCTCACACTCTGCCCTGCCCTGGGGATTCCCTGAGGCCCTGCCCCACCCAGCTTTCGGACCCACCCAAGCTGTCTCCAGTGGCTTTACCATAGGATTGCCCTGTCTTGGCTCCTGCTTCAGATTTTCCTAAAATCTCTCAAACAAGCAGCATCTGCCCTCAGCAAGCCCAATACCTCTCACTAAGTGGCCCCAGGACCAGGACCAGAAGCAACCAGCCTTGGTTCAAAACTTGGCTTTGCCTGGGCACTTCCAAGCCCAGCACAAGAAGCAGCCATGAGCAGATTGTTTTGTAGCTTATGCCTGGTGACCCCAGGTAGAATACAAGCAGTGGCTAACCTTGTCCCAGGGCCAGCACACCCAGTGGCCAGCTTCAGACCACATTGAAGCACTACCATGCAACCATGTCCACAATTGATACACTCAAGGAGTGGACTCAGTGGGTACCAGAGCCCTGCTGAAGTAAGTGTTGCTCCATGTGGTGGGCCCCTGCACAGCTGATCCTCCAAGGTAGTCAGAGGTCAGTGGTCAGTGGGCACAGCAGTCCTTGCAGCTGAACAGCCTGAGTAAATCCCTCCTCCTACTGATGTGCCAACGGCAATCAAGACTCAATTACAAGAGAAGGGTGAACAGTCCACATGAGGGGTATACCTCAAAGGACCAGCTGGGGTGAACAGGGAGGCTGTGCCACTGGACCCTACAGGACACCTGCTACAATAGGCCATCCTAGGAAGCCTAGGAGACAAAGCAACTCTACCTAATACATAGAAACAAACAATGGGAGGCAGCCAAAATGAGGAGACAAAGAAACATGTCCCAAATGAAAGAATAGAAAAAAACTCCAGGAAAAGAACTAAACAAAATAGAGATAAGGAATCTAACAGATGCAGAGTTCAAAACACTAGTTATAGGATGCTCAATAAACTTAGTGAGGATTTGAAGGAACTTTGTGACAACTTCAAGGAATTTAGTGAGGACCTCAAAAGCATAAAAAATGACCAGTCAGAGATGAAGGGTACACCAACTAAAATAATTTACAGGGAATCGATGGTAGAGTAAACCAAGAAGCAAACCATCGATTTGGAATATAAGGAAGCAAAACACACCCAATCAGAATGGCAAAAAGAAAAAAAAAATCCAAAAAAAAAGAGGATAGTGTAAGGAACCTCTGGGACAACTTCAAGCATACCAACATTTACATCAATGGGGGTGCCAGAAGAAGAGAGACAGCAAGAAATTAAAAACCTATTTGAGAAAATGACAGTAAACTTCCCTAACTTAGTGAAGGTAACAGATATACAAGTCCAGGAAGCACAGAGAGTCCCAAATAAGATGAACCCAAAGAGGCTCACACCAAGAAACATCATCATCAAAATGCAAAAGGTTAAAGACAAAGAGAGAATGTTAAAAACAGCAAGAGAGCCCTGGCCGGTTTGGCTCAACAGTTGGAGCGTCGGCCTGCGGTACAGAGAGACCCGGGTTCGGTTCCCGATAAGGGCACATACCTCGGTTGCAGTTTGTCCCCGGCCCTGGTTGGTCATGTGGGTGGCAGCCACTCGATGTGTCCCTTCACGTCGATGTTTCTCTCTCTCTCTCTCTTCCTCTCTCTCCCTCCCGCTCTATCTGAACAAAAAATGGAAAAATGTCCTCGGGTGAGGATAAAAAAAAAAAACAACAACAAAAAAAAAACAAGAGAGCCCTGGCCAGTTTGGCTCAGTGGTAGAGCGTCAGCCTGCTGTCCAGAGAGACCCGGGTTTGGTTCCCGCTAAGGGCACGTACCTCGGTTGCAGTTTGTCCCCAGCCCTGGTTGGTCGTGTGGGTGGTAGCCACTCAATGTGTCCCTTTCATGTCGATGTTTCTCTCTCTCTCTCCCTCTCTCTCCCTCCCACTCTATCAAATGGGAAAAAAAATATCCTCAGGTGAGGATAAAAAAAAAAGCAAGAGAAAAGGTTAGTACGTACAACAAAGCTCCCATAACGCTGACAGCTGATTTCTCAAAAGAAACTTTGCAGGCCAGAAGGGAGTGGCAAGAAATATTTAAAGTGATAAAAAGCAAGGGCCAACAACCAAGATTATGCTATCCTGCAAAGCTATCATTTGGAATGGATAACCAGGCCTGGCCAGTATGGCTCACTGGTTGAGCATCGACCCATGCACCCATGCCGGTTCAATTCCTGGTTGGGGCACATGCCCAGGTTGTGGGCCCGATCCCTGGGGGGGGCATGCAGGAGGTGGCAATTCGATGTTGTCTCTCATTGATGTTTCTCTCTCTCCCTCTCGCTTCCTTTCTCTCTAAAATCGGTAAAGAAAAAATATTAAAAAAATATATATATAGAATCAATGACCAGAGAAGAAAAAGCTAAAGTTCATCACCCCAAACCAGTATTATATGAAATGTTGAAGGGTCTTCTTGAAGAAAAAGAACAAAAATATGAACAATAAAAATGTCAATAAATATATATCTATCAACAATTGAATCTACAAATAAAATGAAGAAGCAGAACAGAAATAGATTCTTAGATACAATGAACTTTTTGTTGGTTCCCAGAAGGGAGGGGAGTTTGGAGGGGGGTAAAAAAGGTGAAAGGATTAAGAAGTGACAAACCTCAAAGGGAAGGGGGGAGGTGGGCTGGGAAGAGATAAACCAAAGAACTTATATGCATAACCAACAGACACTGATAGTAGTGTGGGAAAGGCAGGAGGGGAGCAGGAGTGGGAAGGTGGAAGTCAAGGGGGGAATAAAGAGGAAAATCTGTAATACATTCAACAATAGAGATAAGTTTAAAAAGAAAAAAATAATAAAGTGAGAAGGCAGAAAGGAGACAAGGGATCGGCAAACAGTCTGGGAGGTGTCCAGTTCCCCAGGGAGAACATCTGGGTTAACATGCCTCTGAGCACCTGCTGGGCAGTGTGGATCATGGGCAGCAGGGAAAGGCAGCCCTAAATAGCTCAAAAGCACAGCACACCTGGGACTCGGGCAAGATGAGCTCAGGTGCCACTGTCCAGTCTTCGGTTCTCATCTGCTCAGGAAAGTCTAGGGTCTGGTGAACAGGCACAGCTGTGGGTGGAAAAGAGCCATGAGAAATTTCTCTCACTTCTATGCACATCCTGAGCTCATTTCTAAAATAAAGATCTAGGTTTTTTCAGTAGATGGGAAACCTTTACAAGTGTGTGTGGTCCCTGTAAGTGGCCTTATCATCATTAATAAAAACCAAAACAGGTTGCCCAGTTTTCATGGGTGAAATTAACAAAAACCCTTCTTATTTTCCTCTCATGACATAAATAGTCTGAGTTAAAAATTTTTAAATGAAATACTCATGGACTCCAGTATAAAGTAGATGTATTGTTTATCACTTATTCTTTTTTTCTTGATACACAATTGTATTCTCTTATCACCCATTAGTGATCCCAATTCCTTCTGTGTTTTGAGGATGAGGTAGCCCAAATCCTTTATACTTTTCTAAGGAACAGTGTTCATGGTGTTATTACCAGGGTCCCTGGTTTGGATATTTCTGTATCTTAGACCAATCCCCACCTTCACATACACCTGGTCTATTCTAAGGCCATTTGTGGGGAGTTGGGGGGTAATCATAATTGCTAACATGGTGCATTTGTACATCCACAGAGCTGGGCATCCAGAAAATGCTCACAGTGTTCTGGCTGAACAAATTACTATCACAGCTCCCAGCAGAAAGAAATTATCATGAAGTTCCTTACCCCTCTTACACATAGGCTCTGTTTCTTTATGAGTATTCCTGCTCAGTTGTTGTTGTAGATCCTGATATTCATTCCAAAAGTCTTCATCCTGGGACCTGCCCATTGGCTGGGACTTTGCTGGCTTTAGCTTGAAGCCTGGGGTCTCTGCTGTTTCTCCCAAGAGTACTGTGTCCTTTCCCAGCACAGGGACTGCAACCTAGAAATAATTTCCATCCTTGTTACCAGAACTTACTTTAGGCATGGGGGCTGCTAGTAGAGGGAGGAAAAAGCAGAGTCCAGATTGTGGAAAGCGTGAGACACTAAGGCACATGACTTTTAAAAGACTTAAAGAAATAATTTATGGCCACCAATTTTCCACAAAGTACTATTCAAAAAATTGGAGATATTTAGGATAAAAGGAAAAAAGATGTGGCTACTGCCAGCCCTCCCAACATGCCCCCCCTGCCCCTGCATACAGCTCAGCTCAGACCACTAGCAGGATTTTGCCAGCTGCCTGTTCTCATGCTGTCTTGACAATATTTCTCTTTTCACTTAGATCCCTACTTCAGTGATTTCTTGTCTTATACTTTCCTCAAAAGATTTAAAAAATTTTAACTGTCCTGTCAACCAGATTTTCTCCATGGTCAGAGAGGTTTTTATAGAGAATGTGGATAAAATGGAGAGGAAAGGGGGAGGAAAGATTCTGGGTCCAACCTCCCTCCAGATTGTAGTGACACCAAACATGTGTCCTGCTCTGTATTCTTGACAGTAGACTTGAAGCCAGTAGATGTGCTTCCACCTGCCCAAGAGCATATCATTGATTCCCACTGACTAGTAGAGTCAAGGACCAACCACTAAGAGCGGGCAGTGGAGGCTCTTGACTGTGGTACGGAGGACACTATACCTCAGTATTTTTCTTCTCTCAGCCACTCTGTTGGGATTTCCAAACCTTTGTTTCCCTTTCTTCTTTCTCCTCTTTGTTATCTTCTCTCTTTTGTTCTCTTAGTGTACTCCATTTTTTGTTCTCCCCCTTACTTGCCAACTCCTTGTTGCCCTTTATTTGTTTCTAAGAATTTAAGACCCATCTCATATGTCAAGCCAGACTAGGCTTATTACCCTCAACACACCCTGCTCTAAAGAGGGGAAAAATCCAACTCTTTCTCTAAGGCTCAGAAGTCTCTGCAAGGGTCTCCTAAATCTGTGGAATAACTATTGCTGTGTGTCTCTGGTTTCTGGTCCTGCCTTAGTTGATCTAAAGGAACAATAGATCATTGACCTAATTCATCTTAGTTCACAATTAAATGCCCCAATACCCATATATCTACCTTTATCCTATTTCATTGTTGTGTATCAGGAATTTTTCTGCTCACCCCATTTCTTGTTGAGCAGATTCACTCTGCAAGTGGTCTACCAAGGCCACAGCCTCCTCAATGCTCTGTAGATGGTGCTTCTTTATTTGGGATTCAGTATCCCTGGGCAGAATGGTCAGGAACTACTTTAGCTCTAGCAATTCCAAGATCTGCTCTTTTGAGTAGACCTGTAGCCTCAGTATCATTCTTGAAGTTGGCCCACAGCCTCATGGGGTTCATCTGCCTCATGATAATGGAAGCTGTCGAAGTGCTCTCCAGTCGCGACTGCCTGTTTGTGCAGTATATTTCTTAGTCTGGTTGGAGTTCTCTGTCACAGGTCCCATAATCTCCCACAGAGCCCTGACCTAAGGATTCTAATACTCAGCCACCTTTAGACCTACCATCATCATTATGCTCTGGAACAGTCTGCTCCTGTGTTGGACACACCACCAGCACTATGGTTGAGAACAGAGGCCCAGTCTGGTCTGGAACAGTAAAGGATCTGCTTCCAAGTCACTGAGGGTGGAAGAGTACAGGTCAATAAAAAAGTCACATGAAATTTACTACTTGCTACTTATTATGAGAAAGTGAAGGAAAAAAACCCTGATTTGCCTTTTCTTTTTTTTAATATATATTTTTATTGACTTTTTTTTTTAGAGAGAGGGGAAGAGAAAGAGATAGAAACATTCATGGATTGGTTGCCTCCTGTATGCTTCCTACTGCGGGTGTCAAGCCCACAACTCCGGCATGTGCCCTGACCAGGAATTGAACCAGCGATCTCTTGGTGAATGGGACAATGCTCTATCCACTGGGAGATACCAGTTGGGCCTGGCTTGCCTTTTCTTTAACAATCAACTGCCAGACTCTCTCTCCTTTTATTCAACTGAACTATCGCACAGCTCACTGAAGACAAATCCCAAGTGATGACTCTGCTTTAAAAAAAAAATTCACAAAAGGTTGGTGAGTGAGCTGTAGCCTGGTAGCTCAATGGGTTAGAATGCCATTCTGATACGTGAAGGTTGTGGGTTCAATCCCTGGTCAGGGCACATACAAGAATCAACCAATGGCCCTGGCCGGTTTGGCTCAGCGGTTAGAGCGTCGGCCTGCGGTACAGAGAGACCTGGGTTCGGTTCCCGCTAAGGGCACGTACTTCGGTTGCAGTTTGTCCCCGGCCCTGGTTGGTCGTGTGGGTGGCAGCCACTCGATGTGTCCCTTCACGTCGATGTTTCTCTCTCTCTCTCCCTCCCACTCTATCTGTACAAAAAATGGAAAAATGTCCTCGGGTGAGGATAAAAAAAAAAAAAAAAAGAATCAACCAATGAATGCATAAGTATGTAGAACAACAAACCAATGTTTCTCTCTAAAATCAATCAATTTTTCTTTAAAACGTTGATGGGTGAGAAAATCAGCACCCACTGGCTCCAAAGAGTTCACTGATGTGCTTCCAATCAAATCTTAACCATGTCAAAAGAAGATTAGAACATTCTGAATTTTTCTTACATTTTAACTATCACCCTAGTCTTCTGCTTTTAGTAGAAGGATACAACTTCTATGATTCTTCATTCTCTTGTGATAATGGAAGCCTTCCCTTCGTGGAACATTTGAGATTCTCATGAATACTTGCAGGAGAGCTAAGATAGTGAGACTAGAGTAGAAGGAAAGTAATTAGGGGAAAAGCAGCCTTTTCTTCTCAGAAAGCAACCAATTAAGTAACTAGATGCTCAACATCCTTCTTTGGCACCTCTCTGCAACACATGTGAAGGACAAAATGCAAATTTGTACCTGTATTTTTTTTTTTTTAATTAAAAAAATTTTTTTTCATTGATTTTGTGGAGAGAGAAAGGGAGAGGGAGAGATAGAAACACCGATAAGTGAGAAACATCGATTGGCTGCCTCCCTCACGCCCCTCACTGGGGATCCAGCGGAAACCCCCGGGCATGTGCCCTGACCAGAAATTGAACCGAGGGCCTCTTTGTGATGGGTCCACCCAACAACAGCCAGGTATGTACCTGTATTTTTAAATTTCTGTTTACTTGAGCTAGCAAAACTTACAGCTGACCTTTCCTTACAAAATGTTTGTCCAAATAGCAAGTCGTAAAAAGGGGAGGATGTAATTGGTGATGATTAAGGTGACCCTTCTGCTGACTTTACGTTTCAAGGGTCTTTTAGACTAATAAGGGAGGCTATGAAGGGCCTCGTGAGCTTCACGTTCCCATGCAGCAGAACCGGCTCCGAGAGTCTGTCCAAGAAGCTCGGTATTTACAAATGGCCAGCTCCTTGCTGCCCACCCCGGCTCAGGAGGCTCGGGGACACGTCCTGTGCTTTTGCTTCAGGAGAAAATGATCTCTCTGAAGCTGAACTGCGGTTCTCATCAGCCCGCAAAACAAAATAAAAAACAAAAACACGCCAGCGGAGGCGGGAACGTGGACATTTCCGGAGGGCAGTCGAGCTTCGTGAGCGCTGTGCAAGGGAGTAGTGTAGGAGCGTGCCCCGCCGCGGGCTCCGGAGCTATCTGCGCAAAGGGCAGGAAGAGTGGCCTCCGGAGCCTGACCGCCAGCCTCGCCCGAGACGGTCTGGCCACAGGCTCCGGCCGCGCGGCCACGAGAAATGGCGCCTCGCCTCCAAACGCCTTGCAGCAGCCGGAGCCAGCAGGCAGCACTCTGGGGCTCCGCAGCCGACGCCGAAGGGAAGCCGATCCCGGGTTACCTTGGATAGCGGGGTTCCTAAGAAGCCACGCCCTCTTCCTACGGCTCAACCACAAATCTCGGCCCTCGATACCAGCGGAGTCGCGAAGGCGGAGCTAGGCGATTGGTAAAGGGTCCAGGCTCAGGCGTACCAGCCCCCCTCCCACATGAGGCCTTTACAAGGAGCGGGCTTAGCCCCGCCCCAGCGCTGCTACCGGAAGCGAAAGTTGAGCGCTTCCGGCCAGGGGGCGGTGGCTCAGCGAAAGCGAGCGCTCAGACTCAAGGAAGCGGCGGAAGAGTCGGCCTGCACCCCTAGTTCAGCCTGCCAGCCTAGAATTAGTGTCATTGAGCCTCCACGCCGCCTTTCCTAGAGAGGTCTCCGTGCGGCTTGGCAGTGAGTGTCGCCCTCTTGCGGTGAGCCGTTAGGCATCAGAGTCATTTATGTAGAGTGCTCAGCAGGAATGAACTGGGAACCGTGTAGAGAATGACCTGGGCGGGACAGGTAGTGGCAAGGACATTTCGAGGGGTGTTTATGATGAGACGTGAGGGAGAACGAGCTAGTTGTGTCAAAAGCTGAGAGGAGAGTACAACAGCCCCTGGACACGCACACTCCAAGAGCCTTAGATGGAAGAGGACTTTGCATGTTTGAAAAAGAAGGGTTTGTGACTAGAGTTTAAGGATTAAGGAGCGTGGGATGGGAAAGTAAGTGAGGAAGGCAGGAGCCACCTCAAGCAGGGCCTTTCAGGCTATTAAGGAGTTTGGATTTTATTTTGTGTGCAGTGGAAAGCCACTGAAAAATGTTAGCAGGGATGGACGTGACCTTACATTTTAAAAGACCTACCGGATTCTATGTAGAGAGAAAATGGATAAGAGGGACTAACAGGTGGGCAAGATTTCAAATTAGTTAATAGCACATCAGTAGGGTGGAGGTCCTTTGTGTCCTCTTACTTCAGAATCAGTTGTATTAATGTGAACATGTTTATTTACCCTGACCTTCTGCATAGCAGTTCTTCATGTACTTAAAAGACATTAAACCCTCAGCCCCATCCATCTTAATATTTCAGAATACATTTCTATTATTTTTGCCTTTCTAGTGAAGCTCTATTTTTTGTTTTTGTTTTTACTTGTCTAATATTTTAGGAAAAAACTCTTAATTAAAAATTTTCTTGCCCTGGCCCATTTGGCTCAGCGGTTAGAGCGTGGCCCGCGGACCAGAGAGTCCCAGGTTCAGTTTCCTCTAAGGGCACATACCTCGGTTGCAGTTTGTCCCCGACCCCGGTTGGGGTCATGTGGGTGGCAGCCAGTCAATGTGTCTCTCTCACATTGCTGTTTCTCTCTTTCTCTCTCTTTCTGCTTCTCTCCCTCCTGCTCTGTCTGAAGATAAAGGCAAAAATGTCCTCCAGTGAAGATTAAAAAAAAAATTTTTTTTTTCTTAATTTAGGTGAAATTCACATAACATAAAATTAACCATTTTCAAGGGAACAATTCAGTGGCATTAAGTAAAAACACACCATATCAAAACACTGTCATCCCTCCAAAGTAAATCCTGTACCCATTAAGCAGTTACTCCTTGTTCTCAAAGGATTTACCTATTATGGACATTTCATAGAATTGGAATCCTAAAATATGTGACCTTTTGTGTCTGGCCTCTTTCATTTAGATGACTGTGAGACACTAACAAAGGGGGGAACAAATCAGGGGTCACACAAAAGAGCTGGACTTGGCAGATGGGAAAGTGGCAGGTTTACCATGGGAATCTTGGGAAACCAGGACTTTCCTGTCTGTACTCAGTGAGCTTCAGTTTTATGAGAAATCCCCGGTACACAAGCACAGCAGCTAGCTATAGGGGGAAGTAGCTGAGCTCTTCTGTGAATGAAGTTTCCACCCGACTCAAGCAGTGTCAGAAGCCTCTGAGACAGTTGCTGTCAAGGAAAGCAAGGCTGCAGCACAGAGCCTTGTGCCTTTCAAGATAACATGGAAGATCTGCTGGCCTCATAGGCTCCTCCAGTTCTCCTAGGAACTTGGCAGACAAGGCTGTTGAGGTAAAGGGTACAAACCAACACCCATGGAAGTGAAATGAGGAGGGGTAAGAGGACAGTGGAGGACTCAGACAGCTAAAAATTGGATGGCAATCTGCCAGTCTTAGAAACTGGGAACTTGTCACTTAGAGCCTGTTCCAAAGTGACTTGTTTTAAACTTTTTTTTATTTTTATCCTCACTCAAGGATATTTTTGCATTTATCTTCAGATAGAGTGGGAGGGAGGGAGAGAGAGAGAGAGAGAGAGAGAGAGAGAGAAACATTGATGTGTCCTTGTCACCCACATGACCCAACTGGGGCGGGGACAAACTGCAACTGAGGTACGTGCCCTTAGCAGGAACCGAACCCGGGATTCTCTGGTCCACGGTCCAATGCTCTAACCACTGAGCCAAACCAGCCAGGGCCAGAGTGACTTGTTTAAGGACCTCTCTGCATGTATTCTAGTACTGATCCCCTATTAGCAAATTGCTCCCCCAAACTGGATCTTGTCTTCCATCTGTAAACTGAAGATGGTTCCTGTTACCTCACAATTGGGGGTACATTGGGATAATAGCTAGAGAGGATACCCAATGTAAAGCCATTCATTGGCCATGTACAGGTTATGTATAGGGTAAAGCAGTACCTAAACCCTGTTGTATGGGTAACCTGGGGGATTTTGTTTTGAGCTGTGAAATTGGAAGGCTAAAGCTAGATATATTACTGTCACCAACATAATGAATTATCTGAGTAGGTGTGATACTTGTATCTAGATTTTGTCAAGAAATATAAAAGTATGATAGTGATGTTGGCCTGGGAAATGAGTACTGCATTCTCTGTGGAAGGTGGGTGATGTGGTGTGAATTCAAAAGGCTGTTATTAGTCTAGGAATTAGGTTCCATTGCAGCTGCAGGGTAATAGAGCAGAAGGAGAATGATCAAGGAGGGGGGGGGGGAGGGAGAGGGTAAATTTCAATTTTTTTAAACTTTTAAATAAAATTTTTATTTTTTTTAAAAACTCATCTTTATTGTTAAATGTATTACAGTTGTTTCCCTCTTTTTTCCCCATTGACTCCCTCCTCCCAATCCTTCCTCCCTCCAGCTTTCCCCATAGTATTGTCAGTGTCCATTGTTTAAGCATCTACTACATTGAAATTTTTTGCTTTAGAAAAAACAGTGAGATACCTTCCAGAAATGGAAGATACCTTCAGTCATATATTGAGAAACTTGTATATTGGGCTGCCAAAATCCTGCACTGAGGTATCCAGTCTTTCTGATCTGATCCCTATGTTCTTTGTCCTGTATGCACTGAGGTGATGAGACCAAGACATTCCTGGCCTCTCTCAGCAATTCAGACCCATCAGCAGAACACCCAAATCTACAGGCTGTGGGGGAAGAACTCCAGGAGCAGAGTTTTCTGGGGACCTCAGAGCAGTGTCACACTAAGTTCAAAAGTCTACAGTTAGGTTACTCCAAAGTGAGGAGAGGTTGTGTGCCTGATCCTTGTATCTTTTATGAGGAAATGGATGTCCTTTCAAGCTCCTCTGCACCTCCTGTGGCAAGTGGTGCTGTTTCTGTCCGAGAAGGAAGTAACTTGGAATCTGGAGAGCTGAGTCAGCAGTACAGGGAGTCTACAGAGGTTGGAGAAGGTACCACTGTAGATGGTGTAGCAAGGGATGAAAATGACTTCAGGGTTCCTAGCCAGAAAGTTAGGGGAGTTGACCTTCCAGTCCTGTTCCCAAACACAATTCGTAAGACTCTTGGCTCTGATGATCAAACAATGGGAAAGTACATTTAGAAAGGTTTGTTTCTGCCCTGGCTGGTTTGGCTCAGCGGTTGGAGCGTCGGCCTGCGGTCTGGAGAGACCCGGGTTCGGTTCCCGCTAAGGGCACGTACTTCGGTTGCAGTTTGTCCCCGGCCCTGGTTGGTCGTGCGGGTGGCAGCCACTCGATGTGTCCCTTCACATCGATGTTTCTCTCTCTCTTCCTCTCTCTCCCTCCTGCTATATCTGAACAAAAAATGGAAAAATGTCCTCAGGTTTGTTTCTGTTCCTGGCCTTGTCATCTTCTTGATGAATGACCATATACAGGCCAGGGAGTTTTGATTTTCATGGAATTTAAGGATTATTTCCCTTGCATTTTAGAGCCCTGATTTTGCATTTGCTGGTCTCTTTCCCAGAGTCAATGTCATTTTTTTCTCATGGAGTTTCACTTACCTTCCTTCCTTAGATTTTCCAGTTAGGACTCCAGCCCAGATTCTCTCCCATTCCCTCCTTTCATAACCTGAATATTGCCAGATACTCAGAAACCTGTGTCTTTCTTGTCTCAGCTTCCCAAACTCAGGGTGGCCTTTTATGATTCTACTCCAAGAAGCTAAGCCATTCAAGAATTGAGAATACACCTATAGACACACTGACATTTGACACAGAGCCTTTGCTTCAGTTCTGTCATCATATCAGAACATATGAAAAGATACAGAATGGGAGAAAAGTAGGGGGATATATGGTATATTTACCAGTGACTACAAATTTTGAGTCAAAAAGTATTACAATTGGAAAATAAAATTTAGGCTTTTCATTAGCAGAGCTCTGAGTCACATGAGGATTTCCAATGAGGTTGTTTTTTTTTATGGTAATTAATTGTAACTCTTTCCTCATTCCATTGTTTTCCTTCTCAAGAGTTCAATGTAATTTTATTCTTTCAGGTTCTGAGATGAAGAATGGGGTTAAAAAAAGAGAATATGAAATGGGATGATTCAGAAGAAGTAGAAATGAACAGAGCTTTACAGGGAAAGTCTAGTGGAAAAGATTTTTGGCCCTTTGAGCTAAAAACAGGCTGGGAAGGTGAGCTGATGTCAAGAAAGCAATGTAGACATTATCCAGGGTAGAGTAAGGAGACACTCCCATCCCAGGAGAAGATGAGTCACCAGAGACTTTGGACTGAGGAGAAGCCCTGGACACATCTCTTGTGTGGGAGAAAATGGTCTCAGAGTTCTCCCTTCTCACATCACCAGCCAGCCTCTGGACTGGAGAAAGCTTCTAGACATCATGAATGTGGGAAAAGCTTTAGCCAAGGTTCTTATCTTGTTAGGCATCAGAGAATCCACACAGGAGAGAAGCCTCACAAGTGCAGTGAATGTGAGAAAGGCTTCAATGAG